TTTTTTGTGTGTTTAAAGTGTCCTTTGTCGATCTTCGACAAAGACTTTGTTGTTGATTTGGTTTGTTTTCCTTTAAGTGGGTTGGATGTGATTCTAGGTATGAACTGGTTAGAGTATAACCATATTCATATTAACTGTTATAAAAAGTCTGTGAGGTTTTCTACTCCTAAAGAAGAGGAAAATGGTATGTTGCTTGTTAAACAGTTGCGGCAGTTGATGCAAGAAGAGGCTCAGATGTTCTCATTGATAGAATCATTATCTGCCAAGAATCAAGCTACGATTGAGGAATTGCAAGTGGTATGTGATTTTCCTGAAGTTTTCCCTGATGAAATTCCATATGTACCGCTAGAGAGAGAAGTTGAATTTTCTATTGATCTTTTACCTGGTATCAGACCTATTTCTATGGAACCATACAGGATGTCTGCATCTGAATTGTCAGAATTAAAGAAGCAATTGGAAGAGTTACTTGAAAAGAAATTTGTAAGACCAAGTGTATCGCCATGGGGAGCTCTAGTGTTGCTAGTAAAGAAGAAAGATGGAAGTATGAGGCTTTGTGTTGATTATAGACAATTGAATAAAGTGACGATTAAGAACAAGTATCCGCTTCCAAGAATAGATTACTTGATGGACCAATTAGTGGGTGCTCGAGTGTCTAGTAAGATTGATTTGAGGTCGGGTTATCATCAGATTAAGGTGAAGGATGAAGATATCCAGAAGAAGACTTTCAAAGCGTGTTATGGACATTATGAGTATTTGGTGATGCCTTTCGGTGTTACTAATGTGCTGGTAGTATTCATGGAATACATGAACCATATCTTTCATACTTATTTAGATCGGATTATAGTGGTGTTCATTGATGACATTTTGATTTACTCTAAATCGGAAGAAGAGCATGTGAAACACTTAAGAATAGTATTGCAAGTTTTTAAAGAGAAGAAGTTGTATACAAAGTTGTATAAGTGTGGATTTTGGTTAAAGGAGATTAGTTTTCTTGATCATGTTATCTCAGGTAGTGGCATTGTTGTAGATCCATCTAAAGTAGATGATGTGTTGCAATGGAAAACTCCAAAGTCGGCTACAGAGATTAGAATCTTTTTGGGATTAGCTGGTTACTATAGAAGGTTTATTAAAGGTTTCTCTAAATTAGCACTTCCGCTGACTAAGTTGACTTGTAAAGGTAGAGCTTTTGTGTGGGATGTTCAGTGTGAAGAAAGTTTTACAGAATTGAAGAAAAGATTGACGTCTGCTCCGATTTTGACATCACATAATCCAGGAGAACCCTTTGCGGTATATTGTGATGCTTCCAAGATGGGTTTAGGAGGTGTGCTTATGTACAATAATAAGGTAGTTGCTTATGCGTCAAGGAAGTTGAGGACTCATGAAAAGAACTATCATACGCATGATTTAGAGCTTGTTGCAGTTGTTTTTGTGTTGAAGATTTGGATGCATTATCTTTATATTTCTAGATTTGAAGTATTTAACGATCATAAGAGTTTAAAATATCTATTTGATCAGAAAGAATTGAATATGAGACAACGAAGATGGTTGGAGTTGTTAAAGGATTATGATTTCGGTTTGAATTATCATCCAGGAAAAGCGAATGTGGTGGCTGTTGCGTTAAGTCAAAAGACTTTACATATGTCAGCAATGATGGTTAAACAGTTGGAATTAATTGAATAGTTCAGAGATATGAGATTAGTTTGTGAGGTGACACCGCAGAGTGTTATGTTAGAGATGTTGAAGATTAATAATGATTTTCTGGACAATATCAAAGAAGCTCGGAAGTTGGATGTAAAAATGGTAGATTTGATGGTTGGGATCGATCAATCTGAGAATAGTGATTTCAAGTTAGATGCGCAAGGTGTGTTGAGATTTCGTAATCGGATTTGTATTCTTGATGATGTGGAGATGAAGAAAGTGATTCTTGAGGAAAGTCATAGAAGCAAGTTGAGCATTCATCGGGGAGCTACAAAGATGTATCAGGATTTGAAGAATTTGTTTTGGTGGCCTGGAATGAAGAGTGATGTGGCTCGGTTTGTGTATGCATGTTTAACTTGTCAGAAGTCGAAAGTTGAGCACCAGAAGCCTGCAGGGTTGATGCAACCGTTAAAAGTTCCAAAATGGAAATAGGATAGCATTTTGATGGATTTTGTGATGGGGTTACCTAATACGCTAAGAGGACATGATTTGATTTGGGTGATTATTGGTAGGCTTAAAAAGTTAGCTCATTTTATTCCTATTAACATCAGTTTTCCAATATCGAAGTTGGTAGAGATTTACACTAGTGTAATTACAAAGTTGCATGGTATCCCTTTGTGTATTGTGTCAGATAGAGATCCGAGGTTTACTTCAGATTTTTGGAAGAGTTTGCAAGAGGCATTGGATTCTAAGTTGAGGTTGAGTTCGGCATATCATCCTCAGATGGATGGTCAAACTGAAAGGATTGTTTCGTCGTTAGAAAATTTGTTGAGAGCATGTGTTCTTGAGCAGGGAGGTTCGTGGGATACTTATCATACATTAATATAGTTCACTTATAATAACAGTTACCATTCTAGTATTGAAATGACACCTTTTGAAGCGTTGTATGGTCGAAGATGTAGAACTCTTTTATGCTGGCATGAGTCTGGAGAAAGTGTAGTGCTTGGGTCTGAGATTGTTCAAGAGACTACTGAGAAGGTGAAGTTAATTCGAGAAAAGATGAAGGCTTCTCAAAGTAGACAGAAGAGTTATCATGACAAGCGAGGAAAGATTTAGAATTTCAAGCAGGTGACCATGTGTTTCTGAGAGTTACACTTGTGACTGGTGTTGGGCGAGCATTAAAGTCTAAGAAGCTCACTTCTTATTTTATTGGTCTGTATAAGATTTTAGAAAGAGTTGGATATGTTGTTTATAGAGTGACTTTATCGCCTAATCTTTAGAATTTGCATGATGTGTTCCATGTGTCACAACTTTGAAAGTATATTTCAGATTCATCTCATGTGATTCATATAGATGGTGTGCAAGTAAGGGATAATCTTACTGTGGAGACGATGCCTATACGAATTGCAAATCGTGAGATGAAGACTCTAAGAGGCAAATAAATTTCTTTGGTGAAAGTAGTCTGGTTAGGAGCTGTCAGAGAAAGCATGATGTGGGAGTTGGAAAGCAAGATGCGGAGAAAGCAATATTAAATTTAATAGTGTCTTTAAATGATAGTACTATTTATTGTAAAATATATGATGAAGAAGTACTATCTCATTTATTTTTTTTAAATTGAAAGATTCTAAAATTATTTTAAAGAAACTAAATAAAAAATGTATCAAAATATCTTTTCTTCCATTTTTTATAATTAAGAAATTATGGTTATATGAAAAATGTAGAGATGAAATATATAAAATTCGGTAAGAGTGTGACATTCTCTAATATAATTCTAGATCAATAAGAGTAATTTAATTATGAAATATTTTTGAATATATATTGTAACATTACAAGTATTTTTTAAGTGTTTCTTTTGTTGCTATGATTTCGGTAAAAAATTGATTATATTTATCTCATAAAGTATTGCATTAAAATAATATTAATAATACTAATAATAATAATAATAATAATAATAATAATAATAATAATAATAATAATAATAATAATAATAATAATAATAATAATAATAATAATAAGGTTTTGCGAGTAAATTATTATGATATTTTAAAGAAATAATAAAAGTTAATAAATAAATATTATATTATTGTATTTTTTAATTTGTGACAATTCGAACCCATCATCTTTTATAGAAAGTAATAATATATTTTAACCTTTGAAAATTTGAAGATGCATTTTGAGATATGTCACGTAGGAAAAAAATAATGTGACACAAAAAGGAGTTGGAGTGTCAAAATAGAAGTTGAGGTGTTGCAAGATAGTTTGATGCACATTAGATTTAATATAAATAAATAGTTAAATTTTATAAAGTTTATCAAATAATATATATGAGCAAATTAGTTGTATGTTAAAAAAGGATTCATTGAGATTTAATACAAATTTAATTATATTTGTCTCATAATATTTTGTATTAAAATAATAATAATAAGTTTATTGAGGGTAAATTAATATGATAGTTTAAAAAAAATAAAAGTTAATAAATAAAAATTAAATTATTATATTTCTGTATTTGTGAGGATTCAAATTCATGATCTTTTATAGAGAGTAATTATATATTTTAACATTGAAAAATGAAGATGGATTTAGATGTGTCATGTAAGAAAATAAATAACATAGCACAAAAAAGAATTAAAGTGTGATATGATAGGACTTGAAGTGTCTCAAAATAACTTGATATACTAAATTTAATAGATATAAATAAATTCTATTTGCTTTTTAATATATAATAATAAAAAGGATATATATCATCTCTTTTGTTGTAATGTGTAATGATGGTATTAGAAAGATGATTATGCCTTTCCTGTATATGTAACGTATTCAACGAGACTTTACGGTATCATCTCTTAGTTTCAAACGGTAAAGTCTTATGATCAAACCAAATGTTAAATCAAATAGGTATTCATCATTGGGGTTTAAGAAAAAGGTAACAGTTGTTGCTGTCGCATAAATTTTTTTTGTAATTTCAATCGATACAAATATTGTGATATTAATTACGATCGTCACAATATAAACTAACTACAATTCAATTTATTCTGGAGTTAACTAATGACTATCAGCATCTACCAAATCCATTTTGCCACTGTCATATTTGAGTCGCATACCCTTTTTAAAATCAGGTTCATTATAAAAACAAATATTCACTCAAAAAAACAAATAGTTTATATTTTAAAATACCATGCTAATCAAAATATATAACCGGACAATGGAAAAAAATTGAACACGAGATAAGAAAATCTTTAACACACGCCAAAAACATAAAATAATAAAGAAAAAAAGAAAGTGTGACTACCAAGTGTCGACATAGACACTGATGAAGGTAAAACCAAAAACAATATATATCAAACTAAAATAATTGAATATGCAGTCTATAGATCAAAGGGTCCTTCTGGTTGGAGTTGTTTGCATAAACCCAAATATGTTTGATACAGCAATCTATCTTTGGCACCTGTTTTATGCATATCAGCATGTTTGCAAAAATACTTCAAATGCTCAAGATTGCAACACCCTATCATCTCACCCAAAAGCAAAAACAGCCAATTAATCTCTTTTTCCTTCCCAATAAATGGCTGCATTGTGCTTTTTCTTCCACAATTCTCGCAGTTTGGCAACACCGGTTTCATCCAGGCTTCGGGTGCACGATTACACATTTTGTGTTTTTCCACCATAATGAAATTTGCCACCTTCTCAAAGTTTTTAAGCAAATCAAAACGAAAGTCAGTCTGTTGAAAATTACAGGATTTGCATTCAAGAGTACCTGAAATAGTGTTTATATTCAAATGAAACAATAAGTGATCGAGAGTGTGAACGGTGGCGGGCTTTAAAGTAGCCCATGGGAATGGTGGTTGAATAGTTTGAGGACTTTCCAGCCCCTCGCTATTGCTACTGGTGGTAGCATTAGGAGGAGAAATTGAAGGTGTTAATGGTCTGTATTCAAACGGTAAAGGCTGAGGTAGTGGTGGGAGTGAAAGTGTAAGCCATGATGATTCAATCACCATATCTTGTTCTTGATATGAAAGTGTTGCATCAGTAGGAGGAGGAACACCAGGGTGCATGATGTCTGAAAGAAAGAATGTTTGTGGGTTAAAAGGATTGGTTGGAGGTGTGTATTCAAATGGTAAAGGTGTAAGGGGTGATGAAGGTGATGAAGGTGGTAGTGATGAGACATCCATAGCAGCAGCATCACCATCATGGTTCATCATCTTTCAGTGCCTCTTCTTTCTCGTTCAAGTAGTGACGGCAAGAAACACAGAGAAAAGAGGGAGATTGTTGTTGTTGAAGTTTGAATGAAACTAGGGTTTGCTATTAAATAAACTAGGGTTTCGTTTTAATATACTACTTATAAAAGAAATATTCTCTACATGAATCAATTTTAAAATTGAATTTATTATTGTATTTTGTAACAAATTATTTTTATGATGTTCTATTAATACGCACTTATAGAACAAACATTGAATTAAAGACAAGTGTTGTCCTCTTTAGACGCCTTTCTTATTGTTTCCAATGTTTTTCTTATTTTATTTCTCAAAAAAATATGTTTTTCTTATTTTCATATATTTTCTTTTTAATTCTCTTTTAATATTGGCATGCATTTTTAATATTATTTTCCTTTTTAATAAAATTAAAATATATTGTTATTGTTTTATTTTTTCCTTTTCTTAGCCATTTAATTAATTCAATAAAAAATTAATGTGTTCAAGAAATGTATTGGAATAAAATATTTAAAAATAGAAAAAAATGTCTTTGTATATAAAATTAAATGGTTATTGTAGATTATTTAATTATAAATTCTCTAAAATCTATTTTTTTTAAGAAAAATGCTCATCAATAAGAAAACAAAAAATGCAATAATAAATCTCTACCATTAAATAAGATAAGACCATACTGTAACGCCCATTAATTTAATTCATCACTAAAACGTCATTCCAGACTCAATTGGAGTTCAAAGCACAATTTACTGAGCTTAGGACTGAAGAACATCACGAAGAGCGGGTGGGTACAAATACACTTTGAGCCTTTATCCTTTGTTTCTTAAACGGTGAACCAAGCCACGTTACAACCTTTCAAAAGTCCTAATTGAAGCATGGGTTAGTTCGAAAGCATATTGTTACAAAAGGTATCCTGACTCCTGTAAGGCTTTGCTCTAAATCTTGAGTTTGAATTTTCTTAGCAAAATTTCTTTACTCGCTAAAACGCATTTTCAAAAAACTTCAAGACAAACATAAACTTTGCATTACTTGAATATCACTGTTTGCATATGGCTATTTATTTGACAGCGGAGAAATTCACACAATGAATCTCCAGTGAACGAAAGCTCTCTCAGTAAACAAAATCAATTCAAGTAGGATGACACTCCCATTGACAAATATCCTATCAACAAGGGGACATGACATGTCACTATCCAGCACACCTGGGGCAGTCCAATCAAGATTCCAAGAAATCTCTCAAGAATTGCAGAGTAACCAGGGGCAAGTCTCCATCTCCGTCACTTGGAGCATTGAACGTCAATCCCGACAAAGGGTTACGTACAGTCAAACATTTGCAGGCAGTGTCACAAACACTCACTACTAGGGGCAGTGACAAATCTCCCTAAAATCCTTCTCATAGGATGATTCCCCAGCCAGAGTTTAATCTCTGAAAACCTTTCCCCAGCTGAGACAACCTCAAGAGTCCTCAAAGACTTTCCCCAACGAAGTCGTCACCTCTCTAGCTGACTGATAATAGGGTTTATTTCCCTAACAAACTACAAATTCCCCAGTTTGAGTTCGCCTTTCCAACTACTACAAATCAAAGGACCACAACTCCTCTTCCCCGGTAGACTACTCTACAATCCCCAGCAAGTTACTGTGAAACCTGGACCCGACCAGATATCAGTTCAACTTCGACCCCAGTAGAGCAACGGACAACCGAGACTCCTGAACTCTTTTCCCAAGCAGGAATAAATATTCTCCCCACAGAGTTTTTAATATTCCCCAACGGAGTTCTCCTCACACAATAAAACAGGAATCCCCGGTGGAAATATTCTAAGCAAAGTTTGAAGGCACACCAACTCTTCAACGGCAGTCCAAGATTTAACGACTCCCCAACATTTGTCAAGGATTTATTTTCCCAGACAAAAATACATTCATTAACATGTCACATTTCATACATTCTATCTACATACATGATAAAGTGCATACGACACGATCTCATTTATTTTGAGAACATCATGACATCATGCATTTCATACATCATGATATTGCATACATCTAACATTTTACCTTTTTCAGGAAAAGGTCAATCAACAGATGGCTACCATTAACCTCTTTAAGTTCCAGATTAATACCTGTAACAAGCCAGGAAAACTATCTGTGGACGACTAACTGTAGATTAATACCTGTAACAAGCCAGGAAAACTATCTACATGAAGAGATTGAAGATTAACACTTGTAACAAGCCAGGAAAGCTATCTTTCTTTCTCAGGTCAGAGATTAATACCTGAAATCAAACAGGACAACTATCTACTCAACTAGCTGAAGCAACCCTACACATGTTCCTTCTTTTCAAGATAAAGTTTTACACCGGTTCCTTCTTTCCAAGATGAAGTTTTATATGGACTCATCATCAGGAAACCCTAGACCGATTCCTTCTTTCCAAGATGAAGTTTTACACGGACTCATCATGAAGCAACCCTACATCGGTTCCTTCTCACTTCCAGATACAGTTTTATACGGACTCATCATCAGGCAAACCTACACAGGTTCCTTCTCTTTCCAGGATGAAGTTTTACACGGACTCATCATCAGGCAACCCTACACCGGTTCATTCTCTTTCCAAGATGAAGTTTTACACTGACTCATCATGAAGAAACCCTACACCGGCTCCTTCTCTTTCCAAGATGAAGTTTTACATAGACTCATCATCAGGCAACCATACATCGGTTCCTTCTCTTTCACAGATGCAGTTTTACACGGAATCATCATGAAGCAATCCTACATCGGTTCCTTCTCTTTCCAAGATGCAGTTTTACATGGACTCATCATGAAGCAACCCTACATAGGTTCCTTCTCAATTTCAGATGAAGTTTTACACGGACTCATCATGAAGTAACCCTATACAGGTTCCTTCTCAGGAAATTTCAGATGAAGTTTTACACAGACTCATCATGAAGCAACCCTACACAGGTTCCTTCTCAATTTCAGATGAAGTTTTACACGGACTCATCATGAATCAACCCTACACAAGTCCCTTCTCAGGAAATTTCAAATGAAGTTTTACACTGACTCATCATGAAGCAACCCTACACCGGTTCCTTCTCTTTCCAAGATGCAGTTTTACGCGGACTCATCATAAAGCAACCCTACACAGGTTCCTTCTCAGGAAATTTCAGATGAAGTTTTACACGGACTCATCGTGAAGCAACCCTACACCGGTTCCTTCTCTTTCCAAGATGAAGTTTTACACGGACTCATCATCGAACAACCCAACCTTCTGATACAGTTCAGATGCGCTCCAGACATGGACGCCATGCTAGCAATCATCCAGTTCCAGCTTATAGATACAGTCCATCAATCATTTCTGGATGGCATCTCTAAGCCCATCTCCAACAACTATCCATTATCTCTCCAAATGGCATCTTTAATCCCATTCCCTACATAATCAATCACAACATCATCGAGTGCAAATTTTTGGGCGCTCTAGTGTTCAATCATCTTCCACCTTCAAGTCACGAATGGCAGAATTACCAATCTAACTCTTCAGGTGTAAGAAGATTGAACAGGGGCAATTGTTGCACCCCAAAATTTTCCCTCTCATTTTCTCTCTCATTTCACAAAGGATCACCCTGGATCCCAGGTTTTCTTCTATCAAGTTTCCAATCCTTGAACTACAAATTTTCCAAGAAAATCACTCACAAGGGCAAAATGGTCATTTGTATGCTGAAAAGTCAAAATTTGACTTTTGGATCAAAATCAAGCTTCAAGAATCATATTTCATCAAGACACACTGAAATATGAAATTTTGTTTCATCAAATCCAAAAAGTCAAAATTCTAAATACTTAGAATTTTTTCTAAGTGTTTAAGAAAATATGACAATTTCAGAACTTCTGACCAGGTTATCACCATAACGCTCAGAAAATTCAGGATATTCTCAAGACAGAGTTTGGTCAGAACTTCTAGGTAAGTTTTCACAAAAGCTTCAATCAGAGGTTGCAAACATGGTTCAGAACATGACGCTTTAATCAGAACATATGAAAGCAATGTTCTCCTTCAGAACATGCTGGAGTCAGAAGATAAGAGGATCAGAAGATGAGGTGCTACGCTGAAGCAGAACTTCTAATCCAGAGTTAAGCAAGGACGCAGAGTTTCACATGGCAGGATTTCTGATCATCATTTAATGCTCACAACCACTTGTGAGTTGTTATCTAGAGGATTTTCACCATTTGTACCCATACTGCCTTGGGAAGACAAACTTTTGTGCAAAAGTATGCTAAGCCCATGTGCTGCTTCTACTTTTCGTTAATTCATGATGACAAATCCAGCTTAGGCGCTGCTAACTATCCTACTTGGTGCATTGAACCATGCTTGTTTAAGCTTACTTCAAGAGTAAGTCAACTTCTAGCATATGACGTTGGCGCCACTTGACATCTCCAAACTACAAAACCTTTGCCTATAAATAGAACACCATTGGCCATTGAAAAAAGGGGGGAAATTTGAGAAAGAAAAGAGCTGAACCCCTGCTAAAATTCCAAGAGTCCAAAAGAGAGAAGAGGAAATAGGGAAAACCTTCGCAAATCCAAAACCAAACCTCCCCCCCCCCATTTGAATCAAAGAACACAACCACTGTTCCGTCACCCTTGCTGACTCAGAACATCCAAAGGCAACCACTCAAAGCTCCAAGCACGCTCCAGGTTCATGATAAGTCTTTTTGACTTGGCTTTTTTTTCATTCTGAACATCATTAACATGTAAATATCATAGTATTAATGTTATACATATCATTGCTTAAGTAGAAAAACTATGGATCAGAACTTCTTGATTGGGGCTAGACTCAGATTTAGGATTAGAACTTCTATAAACTGTTGTGTTGTTATCCTTCTGATTTGCTGTTTAATAAGAACTGAATGAATTTCTAACGTGCTGATTAAGAGTTGAAATATAGAACTTATGATATTCACTCACTGCTAATACACACTGAACTTCTACAATTCACTCACTGTTCTAAC